CAAGAGGTTTCATTTCATTTACTCCTATTATTGCTGGCAACAATATCTTGCGTAGCACCCGGCTACAGTACGGTTCCGGTCTATAACCGAAGTATAAATATTTCAGTAATATATTTGCAATTGTGACAGCCGACAAAGCAATATGCGCCTTCCCAGGCTCAAATGTTTATAGGAAACTTCGAAATAGCCCCTTTGCCCTCCGATCCTCCAAAGAACTTTCGCCAACATGACATAAAACTTTGTTGTAATTTATCGCTAAAAAAAAACAACTTTCCCTCCCCTACCCTACTATGTTTCGCTAACAGAATATTAAAAGCAGAAGGAAAAAACTGGTCCTTTTTAACGCGCGTTGCATGGTTGGTTAATAAAAAAGGAAAAAGTTTGATTGTAGGAGACATGGCAACCCTGGCCCCACTTCCTCAGTTCGTTGTTTTTGCTCAACTTCTAGGCCGGTACCATCACGCGGCTCTGTTGACTGCATGCGATCCGTGGAACCTGTACAGTCACGGAAACTAAATTGCACACATGCATAGTCGTGCAAATTAGTATTACAAGTCAAAGTACAGCAAAAACCTCGATTATAAGGAGTAACAGCATTTGACAATCCAGCGAAATTGACAGTTAATAAAAAGTAAATTATATATAATTCGTGTGTAATTAATTCTCCATGGAAATTAGTATTCAACGTAAACTAGAGCACTCTCGACTACACGAGTTATGGTACCCAATAATGTTGTCACGTGATTGGCTATTGATGGGGATTGGATTGGTAATCAGATTTACTGAACACTTACAGATCGTAACTACGATTAACTACGACAGTCTCAATGAGATACACTCTACGAAAATTACTGTAATTTTTCAATTTTTTCGCTTAGTGGGGGGTGGAGTCCAACTGGGTCCACTCTGTAGCCCACTCCGGGTGATTATGATGATGGAGAATTTGGTGGAATGAAGATTGGCAGGGAAAACCGAAGTACTCGGAGAAAACCCGTCCCAGCGCCATTTTGTCCACCACAAATCCCACTTGACAAGACGAGGGATCGAACCAGGGCCGCCGCGGTGGGAAGCCAGATACTAACCGCTTGAGCTATGGCGCGGCCAATATCACTGTAACTATAGTACACCTAATGTCCTGCCTTCATAAAGCAGTTGCTTGGCAACGGCTTTCAATGCCGGACGTTCCCCTTACTCTGGGTAACTTTCCCCAGCCTTAGCTACCACCTTCTCACTTCTCACAAGTGCAACTCTCAACTGACGCAACAGCGGACATCCCTCTGATCCCGGCCTCGCGTCCTTGTAGGCTGTCGGCCATCTCACACCAACATCCTACTCTTCTAACTGCCGTCCAAAAACTGTCTCGTAATGGCAGCTGGTCTTTGTTATACAGCCCCGGCAGGGGCCGCGCAGAAAACGTTTCTTCCATTATTGCGTGTTTTCTCGTTGTCGGGAAAACGTGTCCACATAGCTGTACCTTACAAACTCCTGTTATACTGTCCCCTGTTTACACAGATGTTACTTAGCTATGGCCTTTTCTCTGGTTCCACAATTCTTGCTTTGAGAAAATATGTCACAATCTAACATTGACACTAACAATCCTGACTATGCGTGCTTAAGTAACCATTAAGAAAAATTACATTTGGGTAAGGAAAACGCGCTTTCAAATAACTGATCCAACATAATTTAACGCCTCAGATTATCACAGGAATTTATAGCAGACTTATGAACCAGTATCAACAAAAGCACCAGTATAATCGAAAGGAGCGCCAGAAAAACCTGCATGTGAATACAGCCACCAGTAATGATTCCAACTACGTTAAATAGCCTCAAATTCATTAACAGGAATCTTTATCGAACTAGTGATACAATAGTCTTCAACAGATGAACCGGCGTCATTAAAACGAATCACAATCATAAAAATCAACGCTAGAGAAACTTGCGAGTGAATACAGGCGCTGTTCTGCTGTAGCTAAATAGGCTCAGAATCATCAGCATGGTCTCCAGTGCCCGAAACATTGCCGACCAACAGAAGTACAGTCCCGCAACATGACATGTTCTGTTTCTTATCGACTCAGTATGAAGTCAGGTGGAGGGAGTGGGCAGCGTGACGTTTAAACGATACTTCCGGTTCCTGAGTAGAATCTGATAACAAATTCACATGCCACGTCAGTCTCACCTTATCAAACATCTCCTCCACCCTCTCAGCTACACTCTTCCTCTCTTCCACCCTTAAAATCTCCTCATCTCTCCTTTTTAAGACTGCCTTTCTACATTTGTGGGTACATCTTCAGTATCTAGTTTCAGGAACAGGCAACGTACAAGAAAGGTGATCATGGGACTCGGGGCACAAAGCAAGGAATAATTGCTTCACCCATTCTCTTATCACCGACGAACCGCAATAGCTCAGTCGGTATAGCGACTGGCTTACGGGCTAGACACCCATGGAATGGGAATTCGATTCCCGGCAAGGGAAAGATTTTTTCTCTCNCATAACGTGCAGACCGGTTCTGGGGTCCAATCAGCCTTCTGTCCAATGAGTACCGGGGAGCTAAAGCGGCCGGGACCCGAAGCTGACCACTCACCCCCTTTAGTGTCAAGGTTAAAAATGATGGAAATATACCTCCGCTTCCCCATACGTTTCCATGGCGTGATGCTTAATTAATTAAGCCCACGAATAATTTTACCTTTCTGCTATATCTGTTTCTTCGCACTGTTTGGTGAAAGTAAACTTTCCTCTAATGGCTCGCTCAGGGTCCCGGTATCCCGCCCTCCCTCAGTCCGTATCAGTATCACATTTATACTTTCATATCCTGAAGATGGAAGCAGCATAAGTAAGGAAGTAAGCTCTACAGTGGCCGCCGTAAGAACTTCACATTTCCCATATCTGATGATAAGGACATAAACTAAGGAGCCGCCCGTCAACAAGTTTGGCGACCCGCCGTCGGTGCGAAACGCAACCTCCACTTCCTGCTACGATGAACAAGATCCACACGCAATCAAAATGTCCAATCTCTTTCCAACTGACTATAACACACCAGTAATTAAATGCACGCAGTGAAACTGCCACTTTTTTACAGAAAAATTAATAAAACTATACATGACTGGTAACCATAACGCACGCTTTATGGTTTCTGTTTCTGGGGTAGTTACTGATTTAATTTGATTTCATTTAACCTACTTTGCGGCAAAACAAAAATACATATGTAAAACACCTTAACTTTCCAGGCAGAGAGTTAAAGGCCTCTCCATACCTACCGACGGAGGGGAGGTAACATCCTCGAGTCTGTCGTCAGCGGTCGTCAGGCACTCTCTGTCTATATATAGATATACTCGTACGTATATGAAGAAGTGCTTTGTTAAGCGTGAGATTCAGCATTAGCATTATGCCATTTCGGGCTATAACAGCAACACGTTGTCAAGCGTGAACACGCTGCATGAACGTAACTTACGCAGTAGATCAAGAACGAGTGCCTATCTTTGTTTTAGCGTATCGCGTCTATTCTGTGACTACTGATATTATGACGTGCATAAATATATAGTAAACCCTGGCTAATACAGATTAGCTAGGAGGTGTAGAGAGACGTCATGCGATTTAAACGATAATCTGGACTATTGAAGCAAAAGATAGTACTAAAAGACAAACAAAAATTAGAAAACAGATAAATGGAAAATTAAAAAATATAGGTAATAAACGTAACTTGCCTCTGTGCTTAACTAATTAAGCATTACGCCATGAAGGCGTGTGAGTGGATGTATATATCCACATTTTTCTTGACCTCGGCACTAGCTGGAGGTGAGTGGCCAGCTTCAAGCCCCGGCCGCTTAACCCCCGGGGAAAGAGCCCCCGGTATCCATTGGATAGGAGGCTGGGTTGACCCCAGAGCCGGTCTGGACGACGTGCAGAAGGCAAAATTCTTGACCCTACTGGGGCTCGAACTCCGACCCCTNGCCGCTTAGCCCCCGGGGAAAGAGCCCCCGGTACCCATTGGATAGGAGGCTGAGTTGACCCTAGAGCCGGTCTGGACGACGTGGAGAAGAGAAAATTTTTGACCCTACTGGGGCCCGAACTCCGACCCCTCGGTCGTCTACCCCGTAGGCAGTCGCTATACCGACTGCGCTACGCGGCTCACCGTAATACACATACGTAGTGCTGATGAAAATAAATAAATAGAAATCACTGCAGCAATTTCTTCCTCTGTCAGAAGCTGAAATTCAGGGTCTCCAGTCAGCTCAAGCCAATCTTGGATATTTTCTTGCGTGGTTTCAATCTCTCCAGCTGCCCTCACCACAGTCTGAAAGTCCTGCTCCTAAATCCCGTGGTTTCAATCTCTCCAGCTGCCCTCACCACAGTCTGAAAGTCCTGCTCCTAAATCCCATGTTTCTTTTAAAATACGTACTCAACTGTGAACAGAATTTTTCATATTTCGATCCCGATTAACTGGAACTAACCGAATAAGCAAGGTTTTACTGCATACACAGTGTTTCGTGTGATATTTATCATTGTCATCACGCAATTTCGGGTTACCATAGCAACCAACTGTCCGCCGCTAACACGCCACATGAACGTAAGTTATACGTATAATAAAGTAAAGGTATGTTGTTATTATTAATTTTATTTCTATTTTGTTTATTCATTTCTTATTCTCTTTCTTTCGCTCTTCCTACATTTTCTCCTTCCCTTATATCTGTCCTCGACACGTCTGCTCTCTCTCTTCCTTCCTTGCATCAGACGTATCCTCAAGATGGAAGCAACACGTTTCTCCTAAAAGTCGCTAACGATATACCAGATCACACACTGCCACATTCCACAGAAAGATGTTAAAATACCTTTAACTTATCATACTGCTACCGCTGATTATTCCTACCTGAATTAACTCTTTAAAGTCTGATGGTTAATATGTATGTATGTATAAATATTGCCATGTGTATGAGTGACTAAAGACGGGGTTTGGATTGATAACTCGATTTATTGATCATTAAAGGTCGTAATTACAAATAACTGTAACACTACAGCTTTTTCCATACTTTACAAAACCACGCTGTCTTTCCCAGCCCACAGTGTCTCCATTAGTGGTTGCCTGGTAACGGCTTCTAGTAATGGTCATTCCTATGCTTCCGAGTTCAAGTCCTCTCTGAACGACAGCTTGTTACACAGTAACGGCTCTGCTATATTTGCTTATCTCGCGGTCGTTGCACAGTAACGGCTCTACATGCTACAATACGTATATAGCTTTCACAAGATCCTAGCAGTAAACGGCGACTGTTTTCCTAAACAGCATTCACATATGTGATGTTTCCTGTGAGGTACGAACTGGAGTTTTGAGTATCATTTCGAAGAACATTAGGTTTTATAGGGCTAGCAGTCACATATCTAACAGAAAAAAATTACTAAATCCGAGAAACAAAATACGCTAACCTCCACGGAAGTCTCAGACTTCACTTATTGAACCTCGTCACTTAACTATGGCACATTAATGGCCTGGTGCTCCAGTTCCTGTTCAATTCTCTCTTCAGTGAGGATAGCCTGAATCTTCAACTGCGCCGATGCGGCCCTCCGTACTGATAGTCTCTTCAACTGACATGCCACACTCTTTCCAAATGTCTCAAACTCGTCTTCCTCCTTCCTGTCCAGCACTTCTTTCAACCTGTCCACAGTCTTACACAGGAGACCACAGTCGGACGTCTTACATCTCTTGGGCTGCTGCCTAGCGGGCTCCGGGGACGCTGATCCCTCCAACCGAAATTCGGAAGCTTCTCGCTTTCCACAGGCACTCTCTTCAACTGAAGTCCAGGCTTCATTCGTGTCGTACAGCTGTGTCACTTCTTCAAGGACAATTTCTTCATCTTTTATTGAAGTTGACCTGCTGACTCTATCCTGTCAACATCAAATATTCATTTAAATTTGACGGTAGAAATGTGCTAATAACAAAAACTGAACGTGGATGTGACGTTCTCACGGCGATGAATATGAAGATTACAGTACTCAGATGTTACATGTAGTAGGTTAGAAAGTTACAGATGTTTCGAAAAATCCTGCTACCCTGGAAGCAACAGATTCCTCCGAAACGCTGATAACGATCTACCAGAATACAGGGGGCCATATCCCACGAGATATTAATATTTAGAATTTAATATGTTCCTAAAATGTCCCTTGCGGCGGCCAGGTCTCGATCCCTGGGCAGGTCGTGTGGGAACTGAGGCAGGTTTTCTCTGAGCACTTCGGTTTCCCCTGCCAATTCTCATTCTACTAAATGCTCCATACTTATTTCTCATCCGGGGCTCGTTCAAGAGGCCCAATAGTTGCCGGCGTACCAAGTAGATTCAGTGTCACCCCACCCCCACGAATAATGAAAATGCTTCTGAAACTGTTAGTGTCTATAGAACAACAATCCAAGACAAATATATGAAGCATACTTCATCACCAAGATGTGTCACTTTAAATACTGTACATGTTTACTAGAATTTAAGCGGAGGAATGCATTACAAAGAATAGTCACAGGGACAGAATTAGTAAGATGAAGCTCAGTATTAGGTAATAAACCAGTAGAAAAATATGCGAATTGAAATATTCAGGACACTGGGTATCTATTGTAGCTTTCAGACCGGCTCTGGGGACCATCCAGCTTCCTCCCCAATGGGTACCGGGGGCAGGAGTGTGAAGCTGACCACTCACCTCCATTTACAGCCGAGGTTAAGAATGGTGGAGCTATATCTCCACTCTTCTATATGCCTTCATGGCGTGGTGCTTAATTAATTAAGCACAGGGACAAGTTTATCTTGCCGTTATCATATCTGGTATCAGTTACATCAACAAGGTGAGATGGAGTTTAAGAACATGAGGAAGTACATAGGAAAGTGGATTAATTTAAAAAAATAATATCTCAGTAAAAACATGTAATAACGTAAAATATTAAACTAGTACGGTGATAAAGTAAAGGACGACTGGATGGGCGAGGAATGTTGCACGCATGCATTTCTTCCGGTAACGCTGTGAATTTCATACAGCGTCAGGGCCTATTTAAGGGGAGGCGATCAGGACCGTCGAACCGGGACCTCAATCCACAGACTTTATAGAGGTATCTGCATCTATGAAATCAGGAAAGGTTAGTTTGCATTTTTAGCCGTTATAAGACACAAGAATAAAAGAAACATTTGCCGTAACCTGAATTTGTTGTTGCTGACAAGGGCCTCCACACTGTCATTGTCCCGGGGCCCCTCAAAACTGTAAATACGGCCTTCTAAAAGCTTGTACAAGTCATGCTGTAAACGGTTCAATCACTCAGTCTCCCTTGCGCCCGGTTATGGAGCCAACATGGCGGTTATGTGAGAGTTTAGGCCAAAATAATACTCACGCCATTCAGTGTATGGATCTGAAAAGTGTAACATCACGACCACTAAGAAAAAAAAAAAGTAATTTTGTAACGGCCATTTTTTTGGAGAATGCAATACAGCCCTTCATGGCTCGGAATCTGCTTTCGGACCAGTGCAGAGCGCTTACAATTTAACATGGGACAAGATTACAGATGTATCTGTAACTTTTGTGTGACACACAGTTCTGTGTGCTCAGCAAGCAAAAATTTGAACCTAAATTTATCAGAATAGTGAAAAGCTGCGACTAGAAGCTAAAAAAAGGTAAAGTGTATAATTAAGCACCACGCTATGAAAACTAATGGAAGAGTGGAGGTATAGCTCCACCATTCTTGATCTCGGCACTAGATGGAGGTGAGTGGTCAGATTCACGCTCCGGTCGCTTCGTTCCCTGGGAAAGAGCTCCGGTACCTGTTGGATAGAGGGTGGGTAGGCTCCAGAGCCGGTCTGAACGCTGTGGACGAGAGAAAACTCTTTCCCCTTCCAGGAATCGAACCCCGAACTTCCAGCCCACAGCACGTCACTATGCCGACTGAGCTATCGCGACTCCCGGTTACAAGCTAGATAATTCTTAACCGTTAAAGGATGGCACAGTGTTTGTTTACCAACGCTGTCAGTATCTCACACTACATTGCGTCAAATGACATGATGACTTGGTGATCTTAAACTACCGAAAGTCAGTAACTGGTGGCGAACGGCCTTGCAATATCCACCATCTGCATGTCCTGCCCATCAGGTCCTCGATCGGGCCTCGATCTCTCGATTACAGATTGCAAATACAATTACTGACCTTTCGGACATCATCCATCGTATTTTTTAACTTCAAACAACGTCCGGGGCTACTTCTGTCCATTGGGCCCAACTGAGCTGCCTATTTACCTGAGGACGGAGGCAGACTCCAGTCTAGGAAACGTTGTTTTAAATAAAAACAGGACGATAACTGTATTAATACATCATCGTCACGAACTTATTGGATTTATTAATGACGAATCTCCTTGTTTTGTATTTTTTTTCAGTTCTGCTGTTATTTCCTTTGCTATCTTAAAGTTACATAAAAGGGTAAACGTAAAGTTGTCCACTACGACACGAAAACGTTCTTACCCTCAGCACTAGATGGAGGTAAGTGGTGAGCTTCAGTCTCCAGCCGTTTTACCCGCGGTACGATTGAAGTGTCTTGATGCTTTGGAGGACAGCCTGCCGGGAATCAAACCCCAATTCCTCGGCTATCCAGCCCGTAATCTGTCGCTATATCGACTAACAGTTATTATTATTATTATTATTATTATTAGAGGGGGTGGGTTTCCCCATGCACTTAGACCAGTTATTGGTCCATTGTGCGCCCCCCTTTAATTTCTACTGTCCTCCATACCTTACCGGTACTGGTGCGTGCTATCAGCCCCGTTCAGCCAACGAGGTCGGCCCTCTGTACCTGATATTTCCCCCATCTACCAGAGGCATTGGAAACTACTTGGGCGGGAAATGTGTTGCCTAATTTTGCTCAGAGGTCTCCTAGAGACATGAGGATCTTCTACGTGCCGTAAATCTACGACACGGGACCCACGGCTTAAAGTCCCTCCCGGAGGACTTGTTCCCTGAATTTTTCCGCCCTTAAAAATTCCATGACCTCCGCCGGGTTTGAACCCGCGTACCTTGAGTCATGAGGTGGGAACGTTACCCTAGCCTACGGAGGCCGCTACTAACAGTTAACGTAAACAGTGAACTCACCGGAGTGAAGCCGGGCGGTCTCTCTCGCTGGAACACAAAACTCTTGAGGAAGGAGTGTAAACTACTGAACCAGACAACTGTTGGTCTGTATACATCTTCAGGAGACGAACAACTAGCCTCACTAAACTGGATTTTCTTCAGTTCCTGGCAGTAAGACGATCGAATATTTTTAATCTTGTACTTTACGTCTGAAACGCCAAAACCTTCCAGACCCATAGCCGCAGCTATTCTCTCGAGCGCAAGGTTCCTCGCCTCTTTGTTTTTATAGTCCAGCAAACTTATGTTCCACAGACATTCTTCCTGTTTATATAGATTTATGAATTTCATCGTGTTCACGTCGTTCCACCTCACGAACGCCATGTTTCTAGCTCTTCACTAGGTTCGTGCTCGCCTCACGAACATCAACTGCCAGCAGGTTCGACCGGACCGGCATTTGCGAGTGAGACAGCATTCTATCTGCATTCGTGGCTGAGCATGCGCACACGTGCTAGTAGTTTCAGAAATGCCAACGGTGGGAATTTGTTCCCCAGAGGAATCATCTGACATGACGGTGCATCACACATGTCAGTGATGTGAGAATTCGCCAGTTTCACCAGTTGCATGCGTCCGGGAAAATTTAATACTGTAAAATCTTGCTAATTTAATCCGGATCAAAATACGAAAAATGACAAATACTGCTCACAGCTGAGGACATATTTTAAAAGACACACATGAGATTTAGGAGCAAGAGGACTTTCAGACTGTGTTGAGGGCAGCTGGAGACTCTGAAACCACGCAAGAAAATATCCATGATTGGTTTGAGCTGGATAAAGGAGATCTTGGATTTCAGCTTCTTGTCTTTTTATGGTTTTTAAATAACGGCTCTACCGTGATTTTGTTTTTCATCAGCGCTACACCTATATTATAAAATTTTCCAGTTCTTTGTGTTCTAATTTTTCTTTTTTGTCCTTTAGTGCTCTCTTTTGGTTCATTGATCCGGATGACCCCTCTCCCCTCAGTCAATCCGCAATAGCGAGGGTTTACTTTAATGTGGGAATATTTCAATTTTACTAAGTGCGGACTAAAACCACGGGGATTTTTGTGTGCGAATAATTATACCAGAAAAAAATTAACAAAAAAGACGCCTTGAATATGCCAAAGATTTGATGTGAATATTCCAGGAACGCGATAGAAGCTTCAATTGTTAGACATGTCAAATGAAATTTACATTCTGAGTTGGTCCCTGGTACGTTATGTAGCATTTCTGAATTTTATTACTGCTTACGGAAATAGCAGCTTCCTTCACTGAAGAATGTATTTAAAATGTTTGACATATCTCCGTAATTTGATAATGTCTAAACGCTTGAATTATTTTCTAAATTACTAGAGAACATCTCCCCTTATTGCACTACCACCAAGAGAACGACTAACCGAACGATCAACTGACGGACTAACTGATCTACTGACCAACCAACGGATCAACCAGCCAAACACCGACCAGAGAACAAACAGTTACTAAGTTGGAATCACTTAGTTCCGAGGGTTCAGTTTTTATTCCGCAGATGACGCTAGCGGTAGGCAAATAAAGTCTCACAACATCAACAATTCTCCAGTTAATCCTATGCATTGATTTGTTGCACAAAATTTCCACTCCATTTTCTTAGTATGTATATGCTTCACGACAACTTTTACTGTACATTTTCCTGTTATCTCCCACTGACAAGGTCCGGTCTCAGGCGTTTTATAACTGTAGTTATACTGATATAGGCTGTCTAATGACTGAGGTTAGAGCTGTTTTCTAAGGGACCCAGAAGAGTAGATGTCTCCTCTCCCTCACCCGAGGACGGAAACATTGCCACCTTCCGAAATGTTGTGTTCTCTAGTTTTTTAGAATACCAGACGACAAAGTCCAAAAACCCAGTAATTCCAAGTGTTATACATACCATCGTCAGAACCCCTTAGAATCTAAGATTTACTAAGACATTCAAGAAATTCATTTGTTTTACAAAACCCAAATTTAATTACTGGGTTAGAAGCCCGCCATTTGACCCTATTTTGACTCTAGTCCATGTCCTCACGTCGCATTCCTCTGAGCTTTCAGCTATACTGTGCGTCCCTTCCTCGGTGGTTTTCCGGCTAAAAGGATTCTCACTTCCCGTATGCATGACTCCTGACTCCAGTCCATGTCCTCACGTCGCATTCCTCTGAGCTTTCAGCTATACTGTGCGTCCCTTCCTCGGTGGTTTTCCGGCTGAAAGGATTCTCACTTCCCGTATGCATGACTCCTGACTCCAGACCATGTCCTCACGTCGCATTCCTCTGAGCTTTCAGCTATACTGTACGTCCCTTCCTCGGTGGTTTTCCGGCTGAAAGGATTCTCACTTCCCGTATGCATGACTCCTGACGCTCCTGACTATAGAATTCAAACAGTATCGGAGTACGGCACTTGACCCTCACTGTGCTAACCCCGTCAATGTCTTCAACATGAGATTACCCTCAATTTCGAACTGGGTCTGGCTGTTCTGTTTGCCCCCCGGTGTCGGGGGCACAGGAAGTGCATATCTGCGCGCGCCGTCATATTCAAGGTGTGCGGTTTGAAGAATCTTCTGGGTGTTCCCCCAACTGGAGACACTGCACTGACCTTGAGTACGGCTTTACCAAATGTTTTCTGGTCTACTGACTCGCTGAACATCGCAGAATCCGTCCCGTTATGGTATTCACTCTGTTCCCATATCCAGCAGATCAGCTCCTTTTATGCTTGTCTTTAAGCGGAAATGCTCTATTTGGGAGGGGGGTTATATGTTCATGGTAATTTTGGCAGCAGTATAAGCGGTTTGGGATAACAAGACTTAATATAAAACTATACATACTTCAATAGCTTTTTACGACTATAAAGCTCTCAGAATTACTAGGTTTTTGGACTTTGTCCACCAGCCGGTATTCTAGATACTAGATACCATTTCGGAAACTGGATATTTCCGTCCTCGGGTTGGGAGAAGACACTTACTCTGTTGGGTCCCTTAGAAAGAAGTAGCCTTAAACAAAGCGTTTCGGAACCTGGATCTGTTCCCGTCCTCAGGTTGGGGTGAAGACACTTACTCTGTTGGGTCCCTTAGAAAGAGCTAACATCAATAAACGTTATGTTCGCTAGTTTGTAGAATAAAGAACGATGGACAGAGTCAGTCGTCTCGTTTCAGTTCCTCTCATTCATTTCCGGTATTCTCGCATCTGACACTAAACAAGCAGCTGAACCAGTCTAAGCAATAATGGAATTAAGTAACGCTGGCAGTTGATACAGTGACTCAAAATGTAAATTTGGCAACAGCGTCTGGTGTCACTCTCCCACACCAAGTGGCGGACATTTCGAATGCGTGCCGCACACCGGAAACAGCTGTCCGTCGAACCAACCAGCATGCACAACTACAAAAACAACATCTAACGAATTTTTTTTAATCCATGTGACCTTATGTTGCAATCTGATAAATATTCAGACAACGAATATAAATGATTCAGACTCACATCCAAAACACTACTTTCGACTGTTTCTGACTGCGTACCTTTGTTCGCAACGCGTCGATGTCGACTATTGCGTGCCCTCAATACATCTTCATGAACGGCTCCGACTGGATGTCCGAAAATACCGTTCTCCACATACTACTAAAGGTACACCTCTATTTAAATAATTTCGCAGACACCAGCGCATGCGCTCGGCTTGGTTTGTCACCCGAAAACGAACAAACTCATCCGAAATCCCTTCCGAACAAAAACGATCACTTGTGAACGAGAACGAAAACAAACAAAAGGAAAGAAGTCTATCATTTCGTATTGTTGTCTGCTTTGGTGTGCATTTAGGATAAGATTTTGCTGCACATCAACAATTTTGTATTATATATCCTATTAAACGTGGTTTATAAGAGGAAAAGTTCTATTACAGTTTATTAATAGCATTGTTGTAACATAATGAGATCTCCAGCGGTTATAACATAATGTTTTTTTCCCCCGGTGCTTGTATGTTTCACTTCGGACAATAAACTTGGTGTTTTCCTTGATCATTTTTTGGTCATTCCGAAATCTAACTCCCTGTTAGAACATTATGACTATTGGAGATCGCGACTTACGCCTTACGAACACTCCCCGGTTAGGTACCGTTACTTAGAGCGGGGATCGTCTGTATTAGGTCTAAAAATATTATTTGCCTCTTGCGTTCTAGATTCTCACAGCAGTGACTATCCTCCGAGATATGACGCCGTGTATTCCGGTAAACGTTCACAGACGTTTCAGAAGAAGTTAAGGTCTCCATCTTCAGGGTAAACCAGTAAGCCAGGCAAGCAAGGCCGCGCCATAGCTCAAGCGGTTAGTCGCTGGCTTCCCACCGCAGCGGCCCGGGTTCGATCCCGGGTCTGGTCAAGTGGGATTTGTGGTGGACAAAGTAGCGCTGGGGCAGGTTTTCTCCGAGTACTTCGGTTTCTCCTGCCAATCTTCATTCCATCAATTGCTCCACACTCACCCTCACTTACCATATGGGGCTGGTACAATGGGCCAGAAGTTGCCGCAGTACAAGGGACTTAGTCCCACCCCATTACTTACTTACTTATTCATGGAGCTGAGCCCTTCTGGNGTCCTATACACATTCCTCATATCCCCCATTCGTGTTACATGACCTGCCTACCTCATCCTCCTTGACTTGATCATTCTAATTATACTTGGAGAAGAGTACAAGTTATGAAGCTCCTCATTAAGCAGTTTTCTCCAACCTCCTGCCACTTCATCTCTCTTCGGTCCAAATATTCTCCTCAACACCCTGTTCTCAAACGCCCTTAGTCCCATCCCACTAGGAATAAAAAAAAAAGCTAGGCAAGCAACTAGAAAGAACCAAGCAGCAGGCTGAAATAGTTATCTTGAAACTAGAACAAAGTGTTTAAGCATCTGGTCTCATCCAATCCGGTCAGGGGTTTTGTAATACGCGGGTGTAAAAGTGAACGGTGCAAATATTAAGTTCATGTAAGCTAACGACGTGGTCCAATATTTTCGAATATCCACTATTTACTCTTAAACCTCCCTTAAAATTCATGAACCAGTCTTCCGTTAGAGTGCAGTTACCATATATATTTCTTTAAATATTTGCCGACTGATGAAAATGGAGCCCAAGGAGTAACAGGTACGAACCAACGACAATACCCATGTTCTGCAGGCCGGGTGACATGTGTGCCACAGTCTGGGATGCGAGTCTCACCTTTCACGTTACCATATCAACTGCCTAGAATAGTGTTCAGGAGCTGCTGCGTTGGAATATCAGTCTGGACACTGGTTATACTAACTTGAGGGTTTCCGCAATTTTTCTAAGACTCTCCAATCAAATCCTAGGATAGTATCTCTGTTAAACCGCAACAGTTCCCTTCCAGATCTTTTCCA